AAGGTTGGGAATGGGGAGAGAATTCACTTCTAACAATTGCAGATTAAGTGAAGAATTTTCAAGATTATACAGGTTATCAAAAAAGAAAAAAAGGGTCTTTGCAGTATTTCAAGAAAACGAGTGGGAGCTCAAGGGAATGGAATCTGGTATTTAGAAGACCATTGAGACCTTGGAAAGAGGATGAAGTTAATAGATTGCATGAATGGTTGAATGAAGCTCCCAGAATCACACTGATGGCAGAGGATTGTTTGAGATGGGAAGCAACATCAACAGCTCAGTTCAGTGTGGCATCAGTGAGGAAATGGTGTGAAGCTGCTAATGGCCCAGATTTGAGAGTTACAAGTTTGCTGTGAAAGAATGTGGCTCCTCCAAAAATTTGATATTTTGGATGGCTGGCATAGAAAGGCATGTTAAAGACATCAGCCTTTTTGCAGAGAATTGGAGTGCTGACCATCAATGCTAGTACTCTGTGTCTTCTGCAGAATGGATATGGAATCTGTTAACCATGTTCTATTGCAGTGCCGACTGATTTCGAGGGTCTGTTCTAGAGTGTTGAAGTGGTGCGAGTTGAGCTGGGCAATCCCTGAATTTGTGGAGAAGCTAATGCAGTGGTGGGCAGGTGCAAGATTCAGAAGGAAGTTGTGTATTTGGAAGATTGTGCCTCTTGTGTTGATGTGGTCTATATGGAAATTAAGAAATGATATAGTATTCAATGGGGGCCAGCCGGATTTTGCATATTTGGAGGAAATTGTGAAGTCGAGAATGAGAATTGCTTATTGGGCTAAGAGTAGTCTATCAGAGGATTACTTGCATTTAAGAATTTTTTTCCCAGGCAAAAATAAAATCGAATTATATAATACATGGCAAAAACTCTGCACTCAGCAATACACCAACCATTGCAAACTCCGTACACAAGTATCAATCTAATTATTGGTTTGATGCAACACAATTTAAAAAATCAAATAAAACAGTCATGAAGCCCCTGTTTTCACATTCTTCTCAAAAAAAAATTTGCATTCTCATCCACTATTAGCAAAAATAGATGCAATCAACCTTTAATCTTTAGGGTCATGCTTAAGTGTGCAACCCCCTTAAGGTTGCACACCATATGCAACCCAATTGTTAGCCGTTAGATTACAATAATTGATCAAGACCATTGAATTGTTTAATCCTGAAAAAGTTGAAACCGGGGCAACCGGTTAATGCTTGTATTTGCATGATTGCATCCCACTCACTCTCTGTATTTCGTCTCTATCTCTCTCTGTTCTCCTCTCTGTGTAAGGTTGAGTCAGTGTAACCGTTGATTTCCATTACAGGGAGAAGCCCCTGTTGGGTTCGTTCCATTGACGAAGCTCTGTAGGGAACAGTATAACGGGCGATTTCCAACAACAACGTACTTACGCCTTTCTTGAGACCATTTACACCTTTAGTCATATAATATATTATTTTATTAATTTACCTGGAAACTGACCTGCTTAGCAGGTCACCAATGTGTAAGTTTCCAAATATTTTGATATAACCCAATACATATAAATGTGTAAATGCAAAATGGAAGGGTGTAACTGCCTTGCATACCATATGCAAGGCACACATGAGAAAAGTCCTAATCTTTAATCAAAACATAGACGTCGTAATATTCTAACCAATATCGCAATGAGTTATAATAAATACGTTACAATGAATCATAATAAATATCACAATAATTTATAAGTAAATATACAAATATCGTAATTAGGATATATCGTACCAATCAAAAGGGTGTTATATATCATATAATTTTTCATCTATATATATATACAAGATTAAGGCTTTATTTGACAACTTTTAGTTTTAGTCAAAAATTTAAAAATTTATTATAAGTTATCACATCATTCTCTTTATTTTTTTACATATTTCTTTTTTATAAAAAATTAAAAAAATATCACAATAACATATTCCCAAACAAGATCTAAGCTCAACTGTGTGCGGAGTTGGGCATCAGGGGTCAAAGCTGATGGTCTGACAAAGTTTGAAATAAATCACCATTAAGACATTTTTTCTGCTACAAAATCAGCCTTAGTTTGGCCTTCATAAATAAATTGACTTCACTTATTAATAGGCTGTTTGAATACTTTGTTAAAAGACAATAGAATGGGTTGACAAGAATGGGTGATGATTGAGACGTTTCCAATCACCACCTCCGCCCACACACACGTGGCGAGTGATGTTTAGACGGAAGAGAAAAAATAAAAAATAAAAATAATGACCAATCAAGTATCAAGTGAAGAGGGAGTCAAAAGAATGGAAAAAAAAAACGGTCCAAGTCATTATTGGACAAGAATTCAATGGTGGGTCATGGCAAGGACACACTAGAATAAGATGTGTCTCCTAACATGAGTCCTCTTTTTCCAGGATTGCCGAGGTATTGTTCTGTTTAAATATTTTATATATCTATCTATATTATTATTAAGCTTTTGTTTCAAATATGAGTTACCTTTTTAATTATTTTAGTTTGTGATTAAAAAATTTTATTTATGATGAATTTTTTGATTTTTTTGATTTTTGTAAAAGAAAAAATAAAATAATTATGATTTGAATGTGATATTTTGTCTTATTAATTTTTTAGTCTATTTTGTCTTTTTGTGATTATTTTAGTCTAAACCATTCATGCCAAAGATAGCCTAAGGCCTCATTTGGTATGCAACAGTTTTAGCTTAAAAACCAAAAAGTTATTAAAAAAACTAAAAAATCTATAACTTATACCAAAAAGTCAAAGATTTTCTCTCTACTTTTTGCAGATCTTTTCATAAAAAACTAAAAATTCATTCTAAACATATTAGTTTTTTTACCTCATATTTTAGCTAAAAATTCAAAAAATTACTAAAATAGTTTGTTCCCAAACGAGACCTAAGTGAAAGTTTAAATTGGTTTAATGAAACTTTATTTTTCTCATGCCATGTGACAACATTATATATGTTCAAATAAAAAAATTATTATACACAGTGTAAGAAAGTTTTGAATTCAAGCTTTAGTTTCATTAAACACATACTTATTACTTAAGTAATATACATATTATGATATTAAATTTTTTATTATTAGTTATCTGAATTGCCTACGTATCACATGTGTCGGCTGCTAATATATATATATATATATAGTCACTAGTGTAATAGAGTGGCATATTCTACGAAGAAAGCCCACCAATCATCACAAAAACCTTACCCAATTTCAACTCCGATTTACAGAACACACATACTGTATCATTACCACCAAGACCTTCATTCACAAAGAAAACCTATATCTATGAAATTCTACTAATAATAATCATAAAAATTAAAAATAAATATATATATATATATATATATATACATAAAAAGGGCATAAAAAATAGAGAACTCCCTAGAAATTTTAAAAGATTTTTTATTCCAAAGGACAAACTTGAATGATAGTTTGAGTGAGTAATAAGAACGAATTAGCTAGGGTTTCGTTTCAAAAAGAGAAGGCAAACCAAATTAATTGGAGAAAAGACCTGTATGTGTTTGGAAAATTCAATCTTGGTGGGTGTTTGAAAAAGTCGTGTGGCTGTCTCAATCGTGTAGAAGAGGCGTGAATATGTGAATAATTATTTTATATAAAAATCAAAAAATTATGTTGTATACAATCACACCTACATAGGAGCTCTGATTAAAATAAATAAATATAATTATACTTATTTAAAATTTGTAATTAATAAAAAATATTATCTCACTCATTAAATTAAGTGTGAATAGAAAATTATTTTAATTTTTTTAATCACACTTTTAATAAAAGTGAGACGTTTTTAATTTCTCTTATGTGATCTTTAACCATTATTATAGTAGTGATCTTAAAAATGAATTAGAAAATTAAAAAAATAAATCACAAAAGGATATTCACTTAAACTCAAATAATACAAAATCAATTAAATATAATTTTTCAAAACAAAAATGACTAATTGATTTATAAAAAAAAATCTTAAAACTAAATGAATCGACATTTCCTTATATAGAATTTAGGAATAAATTTTCCTAAATTCCTGATTCATTTCTCTTATCTTTCCTGTATATATTTTTTTAAAATTTATACTCAAATTTATAATACACGCACACTATTAATTTCACTCCAAAATATACAATCCCCTGTAAACATGATAATGTTGATGAAAATCGTGAGAAAATGGTTGTCTAAGTAATAGACGAGGACGAGGAAGACGAGGATGACAAGAACATTGAGGAGCTAGGTGTAACCACCGATGACCCGTCCGGCGACTTCCGGCACAAGGGACACGTGGCATTCATCCTGAGCCACTCATCTATGCAAGTAGCATGAAAATAGTGATTGCATTCTGGAATAGTTCTTAGGGTCTCTTTGGGCTGGTACTCAGCCAAACAAATTGAGCAAGTTCCATCACTGGGCTTGGGTAGTCTGCCACTCTCCCCGAGCACGATCCTCGGATAAGACTCTATGGTGGGCCCATCCAGGCCCGCTGTGATGGCGAAGGGTTGGCGAGTGATTGACCGGTTAGACAGATCGGTGTCGTGCTGGCGGCGCTGGGAAATGGTCTTCATTTTGCTGGCAGTGTAGCATGCAAGCCCAAGGAGGCATACAAGCCCGGGTATTCCAAGGGCTATGGTAATCCCGTACTTTATAGTCCTTGGCATACCTGTAATACCAAAATTAAAATACCATGAATAACCATAAATTTTATGGACCTCACGAGGCAAACCAATGTGCAGATTTTCTTGCTCATGAGGCTCTTCAAGGACCCCATGGAGATCCAGATTTTCTGTGCTGAATAAACTTGCAAATAGTAATTTTCTAAAGCAAAATATATAAATCAAAATTCTGTTTAAAATTAATTGAGGTGGCTTTTGGTTTGATTGAGTAGTGTTTATTCTAGCTTTAACCAATCAACACATGCCACCTCAGTTGATTTTAAGTTAATTTGTGACTTGAATAATATTGTTCATTAAGTGGTGATTGAGGCCTCGTTTGGGAACATGCTAATTTAATAATTTCAGGCCCGCTGTGATGGCGAAGGGTTGGCGAGTGATTGACGGGTTAGACAGATCGGTGTCGTGCTGGCGGCGCTGGGAAATGGTCTTCATTTTGCTGGCAGTGTAGCATGCAAGCCCAAGGAGGCATACAAGCCCGGGTATTCCAAGGGCTATGGTAATCCCGTACTTTATAGTCCTTGGCATACCTGTAATACCAAAATTAAAATACCATGAATAACCATAAATTTTATGGACCTCACGAGGCAAACCAATGTGCAGATTTTCTTGCTCATGAGGCTCTTCAAGGACCCCATGGAGATCCAGATTTTCTGTGCTGAATAAACTTGCAAATAGTAATTTTCTAAAGCAAAATATATAAATCAAAATTCTGTTTAAAATTAATTGAGGTGGCTTTTGGTTTGATTGAGTAGTGTTTATTCTAGCTTTAACCAATCAACACATGCCACCTCAGTTGATTTTAAGTTGATTTGTGACTTGAATAATATTGTTCATGATTGAGGCCTCGTTTGGGAACATGCTAATTTAGTAATTTTTTGACTATTTGGTTAAAATATGAGCTAAAAAAAATTAGTATGTTTGGGATGATTTTTTAACTTTTTACAAAAAGATGTGCAAAAAGTAGAGAGAAAAGAGGATCTTTGACTTTTTTGTATGGTCTGTTGACTTTTTGATTTTTTTAAGGACTTTTTGATTTTTTAACTAAAAAAGTTACTTGCCAAACGAGACCTGAGAACTCTAAAAGTAAAATTTTAAACTGAGCTCTACTTAGGTGAAAAAGAAAAAAAAAATCACATAATGATAGGCCCCACTCATTAGAGCTTCTTTAGAGCTACTGATTTATACTCAAACATTTTTTATTTTTTTAACAACAATGATTCATCCCACTAAAAACATTACCACTAATAGCACTAATGCATTAAAAAAGTAAAAAAAAAATATATATATATATAACTCCAAGACCAAAATATCACATCATTAATGACGAGACCCACTGCCACCTAATTAGTGGGAGCACTAATTAGTGCTCCCAAGCATTCTCCTTTTTTTAAATGGTACTTACTTAAAATTTTGGCTGACATTTGTCAAATAAGCTGAGAGCGGGGCAGGGGCAGGGGCAGCTGATGGGTGGTGTGGCTGACCATTTTGGAAGTATTCATTAATACAGTTCTTTTTTTTAATCTTCAAATAAAAAAAATAAAAAATAAAAGTTGGCATGAAGACTATGTTCATAATAAAAAACTTGCCAACCAACTTTCTGGGCATAATTACTAATTTTTTGTTGAATTTTTTAATAGTTAAAATTTGTAAGTCACCCTAATAATTTGTCATCCGAACCTCCTATTTGAATAATTTTAATGTGTATAGTACAGACTTTAACTTGATTCAAATGGAGGTAAGGGTTGAATTTTTGTTTCAAATGTATTTCAATCATTCATTTATGTGAATTTTATCGGAACCTTACCACACATGTATAGCACAAAAACAAGGGAAATTTGAAAAAATACTAATTTTTGGATTAGATTATGGCTAGCCTACTCATAGACTTAGATGGTTCAATTCGATTCATTGGACCACAACAAATTCAGTTTCGATAATTTAATAGAAAATATTAAATTGGTGGTATTTATAAAAATTAATTATAAATCAGTGACAAATTTTATAAATAATAATTACAAATTAGTGATAACTTTTATAAATATTAATAATTAAAATCATAATTTTTTTTATGATTCTGTAATTATTTTTTTTAAAGGTCCACTTAATTGTAATTTCCCATAATTTAATTCGTAAGTCTTTTGTGTTGATTGTTTATGAAAAAAAAAATCAAATTAATTTTATAATCATAATCATATGATTTCATTGTCTTTATTTTTTTAAACACAGACGACAAATATGATTTTGAAAATCAATTTTTATTTATTTTTAAATGCTAAGATAATAAAATCACATGGTTATAATTATCAGAACAATTTAATTTTTTTTCATAAATAATCTATACATAAATATTTAAAATATGAACAAAATAGATTATTAATGTAGGATCTGTATATGCTTAATGGATCAAATTGGACAGTCCAAACTTAGGCCAAGTTTGGGAAACTAAATAAGTGTATTTTTTGATTTTTTATGAAATATGAATTGGATTTGGGTTGGGTTTGAAGTGATGTGTTAGAGACGTGATGTGACTTAAATAAGATAGTGACTTTTTGACTTTTTGAATTTTTTGGAGGATGCCAAACTTGGCCTTACTATGCGGGTTGAATAAAATGTAGTCCCTAAGAAAAAATTTACTGACTCAAAAATAAAATATACAGTATAAATTTTCATAATAAATTTGAAAATTTATAAATCAGTGGTACTATCCTACAATAATTACAGATTCATCAAAAAATTATGACTTTAATCATTGAAGTATATAAAAATTTATCATGAACCTGTAATCATTTATCAAAAATAACATTGATTTGTTACTTTTCCTAAATTTAGTCTACACATCACTTTCCAATTTACCTTTCAAAGGTGTCATTTAGAGGTTTAGTTAGGCGTGTAATTTTGACCCCGATTGGCCCATTTGGGCATGGGCTAGTCTGCCTTTGGGCATTGTGGTCTCCTGCCAAAACTTGGACCGGTTCACTTGTGCAAAATCACGGCCTAGACCTAAGTTCAGGCCCAAGAAAAATTCGGACCTGGGGCAAGCTCGACAATTTTCTTTTCTTTTCTTTTTTTTTTTAATCATAATAGCTTAAAAATAACATTGGGTGTCGGGTGGGCTTCTAAGTGGATTTGAATCAAGTTGTGGGTTGGACTCACGGGTCGGGTCGAGCCAAAAAACACATAGCCTAAGCCTAGGGGTTCTGGCAAAGCTCGGGCCTAGCCTAGCTTAGCCAGGCCTGGTTGGGCTTTTGGTGGGCTTTGGGCTGGCAAGAGATTTTTAAACCCCTAGGTTGAGGGGTTTTCTATGCAGTCTTACAAGCTAATGGCATATTAACATGGAGAGGTTATTTGGAAGTTTAATAACAACTTCACATTATTCATCCTATAACACATAAAAATTTTGACAATTCATTTTTTTTATCTTTAAAATAAAAAATTTATTGTAAAAAATATTAATAGACCAAATTCTATCATTATGTGACTTGTCACTAAAAAGTCGTTATAAAAAGTTAAAAAATAGATTTTTAGAAATAATTTTAAAAATATCGTTAATAAAGCCATTTTTAACGATAAACATTTTTTTAAAAAAATGTTTATTTTCTTATATAAAAATTTTGATCCCAAAAAAAATAGTAATTCATTACTACATGTCAAGTTTTGTCACTAAAAATACAATGACATTTTTGACAATTAAAATATTTCGTCTTTCAAAAATAATTTTATTTTTAAATTTCTTTTTAAAATTTTAATTTATTGTAGTGTTATCTCATAACATTTGTCATGCTATTTTTCAAAAATTAAAAAAAAATAAATTATACTATTTTATTAAATTAAGACATTCATGAATTTGTCTCAAAATCATTGAATAATTTTTCTATTAACATTTTTTTTTATCGAAAAAAGAAGGTTCTATCGGAATATTATATAATCCGTAAGCTATGGTCCCAAGTAATCAATTGCCGGTGATTGACATTTGCTTTTTTCTATGTAGTCATTGTCGTACATAAGATAAACTACGATTCATATGTTATAATAAGTGTTTTTTTTTTCCACTCCAACTTTGAAGCCGTCGTCCTTGACCTCTACGTAATAAATATTCTTATTATAATTAAGATTATTATGAAAATAATTATGTCTTTAAATTAAAACTTTTACTTAAACCATCATTGATTAAAAATAGAAAAATAGGGTGAATTACACTAATGGTCCTTATAATTTGAGACTTGTGTCACTTTACTTCTTAATTTTTCAATTATGATACTTTTGATCGTAAATTTTAAATCTTATTCTAAATAAGGACAATTAAAAATACTATTAAATTTTTCAAGAGCAAAATCGTCAATTTGATAAAATATAAACTAAGACCTTGTTTGGAAACAAGTTAATTTAGTAACTTTTTGGCTATTTGGCTAAAATATGAGCTAAAAAAAACTAGTATGTTTGGGATGACTTTTAGTTTTTTACGAAAAGATGTGCAAAAAGTAGAGAGAAAAGAGAATCTTTCACTTTTTGATATGAGTTGTTGAATTTTTTAATAACTTTTTGACTTTTTGGCTAAACCGGTTGCTTCCCAAACGAGACCTAATTCGACCCAAAAAAATGTTAAAAAAATATTTTAGAATTTTTAAAAATTATTTCGATCCACTAAAGATAAAATTATGCAAAATTAATATATCTTTTAGACATATATTTATTTATTTACTTTACCAAATTAATTTTTATTATGTGTTTAGATGAGATCATGTGAAATTAATTTTTAAAAATTAATAATGTAATTTTTATCAATTTTACATAATTTTATCTGTGGTAGATAGAAATAATTTTTAAAAATTTAAAAATATTTTTTTGACATTTATTTTTGTTAAATTAATTTGTATTTTATCAAATTGATGATTTTGCCCTTAAAATTAAATAATAGTATCTTCAATTGTCCTTATTTGGAATAAGATTCAAAATTCAGGATCAAATATGTTACAATTAAAAAGTCAAAAATTAAAGTGATACGAGTTCTAAACTACAGAACTATTAGTGCAATTTGCCCTTAATTAGCCTTTTGAGTTTATTATGAAATTTTAAATTGAGAAAGTAAAGAAAACAAAATAACAGCCACCAAACAAACACCCTATTTTTATTTTTATTCGAAGTACACCTACTCAAAATATGTATTTTTCAAATTTTAACCCAAATAAATTATGATAATAAAAAAAATTAAAAAAAAACTAACAGACAAACAAACAACCAAAAACAAATGGTCTCATACTTGCTATTAGTTTTTAGAAGAGACCATTTTGTCTCGAGTTTAATTATAGGACTAGACATTGCTAATCAAGTCCGCATAGATTCTCTTTCAATCATTTAAACTGCTTAATTTTTAAGCCACTTATGTAGATCATCAAAAAAAAAAAAAAAGTTAATTCAATATACGTAGCTAAACAATTTTATAAAATGTATCTTTTCAAAAATATATGATTTTTTTTTTTTTTAATGATCTACACAAAGCTACTTAAAAAATAAATGGCTTTGATTACCAGAACGAAATCTGTGAAGGGTACCACAGACCTGAACAGTAGTGTCCAGTCAATAACAGGACCGGAGACAATCATTCCCGTTTGGGATTAGTTCTTCTCTTTTCATACTTTTATTCTGCTAGTAAGTGTTGTGTGTAGAAAATCATAGAAAGCTACCTTTTCCAGGAAGATTAAAGCACCCAATCTGCCCTCTATTAACATCTTTGTAACCACAAGTCCCACCCTTAGCTTCACAAGCCATACAACCAGGTATCCTCCACGTCAGCATGAGATCATCACTATGATCCCCCGGATTCCGGTCCCGGGAAACCGAGTACTGTTCCGGAACCGAAACCCTAGACATGTTCTGGCAACCCAAAGGCACATAAGGACTTCTGGAAGCTACTACGGTGTAGTTCGGGTTAGTGCTGAGGCAATAGATTGGTATCGATTGAAAGTCGTACCAGCTGTCCGATGAACAGTTGAGAAACGTGATGTTCATCGGAAAAGCTGATATGAACGGTGATCTGTAAAGGTTGAAGCTTTGGAGCCTCTTGGGGATGCAGAAATCTGGGTCGTTGATGTAAATCCATTTATTGGTGTAGTCGATTTGCTTTACGATGAATTTACCGGCGAGTGGGAGGGTTAGGATTGTTTGGTTCTTGTGGTTGCATGAAAGACCAAAGCCTGGAACTCCGCACCGGCTGTCTTGAAGGCTTGTTAGGTGGAAAGGGAACCGGACCATCGGTCTGAATTGGCATGAGGTAGGTTGGCAATTAGGGTCTGATAAAGCTGTGTGGGTGAAGAAGGAGAAGGAGAGGATGGAGAAGAAGAAGAAGAAGATGGTGAGGAGCTTGAAAGTCTTCATTTAGGTTGTGAAACAGACATGCAAAATTTTCAATTCATTTTAGTAGGTTCTATTGGGTAAGGATTGTGTAAGGTGCACAGGATACTAGTTTTGAAGCCTTGGGCCTTTTTTGCCCTTGGACAAAATTTAATTTACCTCTTTGTGATTCTAGTTTGAAACACTTTACTTTTTTATAGTTTTTTTTTTTTTTTAACCGAACTTTTTTATAGTTTGATACATCTAAAAAGACCCTCATTGATTTTAAACTAAATTCCAACGGATAACTTGTTAATAACACGTGAAATGACACTCTTATCCTTTTTTTTTTTCTTCTTTTATTTATAATTCTTTTGTTTTCTTTCCCACTCTTCTACTGTACATATATAATTCTAACTAAGGGTTGATTTGGCATAAACTAAAAAACACTACAAGAAAAGGCAGTAAAAAACACGGAAGAATTAGCCACGGCGCGCCTCCCGTGGCAAAAAAATAGTTTTTTGCGACGGCAACTTCAACTGTCGCAAATAAAGGTTTTAGCGACGGCGTTGTCCCGTCGGCAATAAAACTACGCGGATAGGGTAGTAAATGCGGAAGTATTAGCGACGGCGTTTTTTACCGTCGCAAAAAAAAGTTTTTTGAGACGGCATATGTTTGCTGTTGCAAAAAGTGGCCCATTTGCAACGACAAATTTCCGTCGCAAAAAAGGATTATTAAAACGGCGCCGTTTTATGAACTAATTAGTTACCATTTGCGACGGTGTAAAACATACCGTCGCAAAAAGTAAAAAAAAAAAATTCCCCCCCTCTTCCCTTTCATCTTGCCGCTCGATTATTTCATCCAAATTCCTAAATGTTTGAAACATTTTTTTTCCCCCAAATTCCTCAAACGAGCTACGAAGGCGGAAGGCTCTCTCTGGACGAACGGCGAGCAGGCTTGCGGTGGTGCAGCGGCGACGACGACAGGTAGCGGTGGTCCGGCGACGAGTCTCTCTCTCTCTCTGTCTCTCTCTCTCTCTCTCTCTGTCTATATATATAGATGAATGTATATTGATAAATAAATTTGTAGATATATATATATATATATATATGGAATTTTTTTTATAGATAATTTGCAAATAAATGTGTATAATTTTTATATATATGCATAAATCTGTAGATAACTCCCTGTAGATAAATCTGTATATAATTTGCAAATAAATAAGTAGATAAATATGTAGATGAATTTTATATATATGTATATATATATATACATAAATCTGTAGATAATTTTTTTATAGAGACCTAAAAAGTAAACGACAAATAAATAAACTCGGATAAATAAATGTGTTTGAAAATTTGAAAGCAATTTTTTGGAGGTTTTCTTAGAAAGTGGTTTGTTAACAGAAATTTATTTTAAAAACAGTTCATTAAATATGTTTTGGATTTTTAAAAAAATGAAAACAGAAAATGACAAGAACTTCCATAGCAAATCTGATATACATAAAAGGGTAACCTTTTTAGTCATTGATCAATTCAAAAACTAATTTGTATAGTTGTATGCTATGCTATGCTCCACACTGTTTGTTTTAGTGGAAATGTTTTTGGTATTTTCTACATTTGGTATGATTGGAAAAAAAAGTTTTTTTGTTGTTAATAGAAATTAAGTTAATTTGAATATAAAATATTTTTCCGCCCATTTTTCACTTTAAAGGTGAAAATCAATTTTTTTTTAAAAAAATTAAAATCTTACAAATGTAACCACTAATAAGAAAAGCCAAACAAATTGTAAATGTAAGCGATCACTACAAGAATTTACACAATTGCCGACCACTTTTGTCGACCAAAAAAATTTTGGTCACAAAAAAATGACATTTGGCGACCAAATATTAATTAGTCGCGAATGATCATTATTTTTGGCGACCAAATATTATTGGTCGCAGAATGTTATATTTTGGCGATCAAAAAATGAGTTGGTCGCAGAAAGTTATATACTTTTGCCGACCAACTACAAATTTGCCAAAAACTTATTTTCAGCAACCAAAAAAAATTAGTCACCAAATTAGTACTTTTAGTGACTAATATTTTAATCGCCGTTGATTGAGATTTGGCGACTAAAAAAGTTTGTTGGCGAAGGTACCTTTTCTGCGACTAATATGGTCTTTTGGTCGCCAAAAGTTTGGGAGGGAAATTTGAAACATGGAGGGGGAAATGCAATTTTTTGGCGACAAAAAAAATTTGGTCACCAATCAAAAAACGACATCGTTTTGTACCTGCAAAATAGAAAAAAAAAATTAAAAAAAGGCCCTGAGCTCCTTTTTGTCGAGTCCGGATCGTCTGCCGTGGTTTCCTGCAGTGGCTCCTGCGGCGGTCCAAAACGACGTCGTTTTGGACCTTTTTTTTTTTTTTGTTTTTGGGCTCTCTCTTTGCTGTTAAGCCTCTTTCTTCCCTTTCATCTCTCACCCAAACACACAGACGAAGATGGATGGCCATAGAATGGATTCAACTCAGCACCATTAACAAAAATTGCAAAATTATCTACACCTAGCTCTTCCTCTGTTATCCATCTCTCTCTCTCTCTCTCTCACACACACACATATATGTATACATATACATATACATATATATATATATATATGAAATTGTTTTCAAATATTGATATGAGTTTGAAATTGTATATGAATCTAAACTTCATAAATCTGATCTTGAAGTTTTCAAACCCACTTTGTTTTCAAATATATGTATATATCCAACAAAAAAAAAAAGTTTTCAAACCCACTTTGTTTTCAAATATATGTATATATCCAACAAAAAAAAAAAGTTTTCAAACCCACTTTGTTTTCAAATATATGTATATATCCAACAAAAAAAAAAAGTTTTCAAACCCACTTTGTTTTCAAATATATGTATATATCCAACAAAAAAAAAAAGTTTTCAAACCCACTTTGTTTTCAAATATATGTTGAACGGTTCGAATTATCAAAATTAGGCCTAAAAGTGGGCCCAATAACCCTATAAGTAAAAAATACAATGAGAAAATACAAGGAGGGGATCTTGATTCGTTTATCGTGGCCAATTTTTTCTTTCATTATATAAGGTGTGGCCCCATTAATGGATTCTGTCTAGCTTGAGGTCCAAATTAAAGAGTTCAATCAAATTACTATAGATAGTCTTAGATTGATTTTTTACAAATTAAAAGGTATATACTTCACTACATACCTAAACCCAAATTTAAATCTTACCAAAGAGTCTTATCTAAATGGGTCAATGTGTTTTGTGAGTAAATAGATAAATTTGAACTTTTAATTTGCAATAAATATTTGACGTTTTACCATTTGGGGCTCAAAAGCCTCTCCGGTTTGAGTCTCAAGTAGACAAAAGTCGTTCTCCCACTCAATAATGCTATGATGATTAAACGAATTTTTAAATTTATTTGTCAATTTACACCATTTGCTCTCTAATGTGATATTTCACTCAAATTTTATTTTAATCTTTTATCTTTTAGTTTTAACAATAAATTCTTAGGCTTTATTTGCTTTGTATTTTGAGATATTATTTAAAAAATAATTTTTTAGAGCGTTTAGAAAATTTTAAAAAAAAATTGGTTACATATTTTGAAAATAATTTTGGAGTTTGAGATGATTAGATATTTTTTTTTATAATTGAATAGATAGATGTGTGAAAACAGCATAGAGAGGGGAAAAAAAAAAAAAAAGGTCCAAAACGCCGCAGGAGCCTCCGCAGGAAACCACGGCAGACGATCCGGACTCCTCTCTGTCTCCAACTCTCCTTCTCCCTGTGTTCTCTCTCTCAATCGGCTTGCAACTGCTCAAGAATTGCAGCCAATTCCAGTCCAGACTCCGACATTTCTTCCTCAATCTTCTCTCTCTTCTCCTGATCCTCGGCCCTGGCTAGATGAGTACACCACACAATCTTCAACCGGTTCTGCAACAAACACTTAACAAGGCTGAAATTATCGAATTGGAGATGACCCAAAAGCTTGGTCTCAACTTTAAGATCATCATCATCTTCAGCAAGAATTGCAAGAACCTCTTCTGCAAGCTTCTTGCTCTGGTGAGGATCAATCCGTTGCTTGTAGACCTGAGAAATCTTCCTCATGTTCTTCTTCCTCGTCAAACACAACAGTAAAACCCACATTATCATCAATCATAACATTGTCTTTTTCTTCTTGGAAATCAGTGATTAGGTTCCCAATACAAACCATCTGATCGAAAACATGACTCGACATAGGGTTCAACAATTTCTCAATCTCCTCCCTCTTGTTGGGGTTATTGTTCTTTAAAACACCCAAAACCTCATCAGCGGCGGCGGCGACTGTTCCGGGAGGCTGACCACCGCCCAATTGCTGCTGTACGAGGCTAAGCATGGCCTCATAGGGAACCCTAGTTTTCTTCGTCTTGGGCTCGTAAAAAAAGGCACAAATTTGATTCTACTGATTATGGCTCTGCAATAATACTGCTCCTGTACTGTCAGGTAGATAAGCAAAATAAGAAGCTTAGACATGAAGAGAATTTTCACAGAGCATTGGAGAGGGCTTTCACCAGACCCTTGGGAGCCCTACCTCGTCTTCCTCCTTACCTGCCTCCATCTGTTAGTAATTCACTCTCTGTGTAAACATTTATTATATTTGATTTCATTTTTATATTTGTAATTGTGAATAGTATTTGCAATTTGGATAAGCGAACCACAAACAATTTTAGTAATAATGAGAATAATGGGCATACAAATTTGAATGGAAAGATTGACATTGATGCAATTTCCCCAATTTCACATAATATTTTTTTATCTAACAGTCAATGAATTTTGACCACAAAATGTATCTTGGGTGAGAATTGTGATTATAATTCTGAATTTTGATATGTTTAGACACTAGAGCTTCTTGCTGAAGTGGCTGTTTTGGAAGAGGAGGTTGTTAGGCTTGAAGAACAGGTTGTGCATTTCAGGCAAGGCCTTTATCATGTACTAAAAATATTTTGAGAGCTTTCTTGGTTAAACTTGTGGATGTATATAATTGCTGATCAACCGATTTTATTATTTTGAACAATAGTAGAACTAGAGTAATTCCTACTAAAAGTCTTAATCTATAACTTTACATGCTTGTGCCTTTTTTAATTCCT